CCCTTCCCCGGGCTGAGGGGAGCCGGTTGGCGCTGTCGGGACGGGGCCGCCGCTGGGCGACACACCGGGAAGCCTCTCCGAATCGAGCGAGAAACCGGCCGTCGCCTCCCGAAGGCGCTGAGGCTGTTGGGGAGAGCCGTTCGTCCCGGCCTTCTCCCTTCCTCCGCAGCAGAAACGAAGATTAAGGCAGTAGAAATAAAAGTTAAATCATTTTTATAAGTCCCAGGGTTGTGTGCAGAGTTCTTACGGTCCCGGGCAGCTCGTTACCGTACGAGTCGAGTGCAGCTGATGCGCTGTTTTCTTCCGTGTCCGGAGGGCCGGTGTAACACTGCCCACTGGCACGGCGCGTCTTGCGCGATTTCTTAGGAATCTGCAAAGATTTCTTCAGATTTGTTGCCTTTGGTGGAATTCCCCTCTGAAGCAAAATCCTTTTGTCTTCTGCAGGAGCTCTCAGCACTGTAGTCCCTTTTAACACGGAGCCTCCTCTCGCGCCGTCAGGCCCCACGTGCTGTAAGAAGCGGGGGTGAGTTTGCTCTAGTACCCGCAGGGATCTCTGCTGGAACCGGGCTGAAGGGGACTAAAGCTGCAGGAGAGGAAAGCCCTGCGCCGGTTCCTCACGCGGTGGCTGTCAACTGAAACCGTCCCCGCAGCCAGCCGGCGCGGCCCGGGCGCTCCCGGGCGCCGCTAATGAGTGGCCGATTGGGTTACGGGTAGAATTTGCCATAGAAACTCGGCCGGTTGCTGCCGCCGGGTAACCGATCCAAAAGCGTCGAAGCTGCTGTGATGATTTTGCCAGCTCTGGGTCCCGGTCTGCCGCTGGCTGGATCTCGGGCACGGCAGGTAAGCCCTCCGAGGGGCGCTTGGGCTGCTTTGGGCAGCGAGAGGAAATTAATTGGCTTGGTCGAGACGCAGCGACAGGAGATGAGGTTGGGTTTCAGGAAGGGGATCTTTTTTCCCCCTGGTAAGTTCTTGGTCCCCAGCGCACCAAACCGGCACCCGAGAGAGAGAAATGCAGCCAAAATGTTGCTGGGGCACAGCTATCCTAGAGTGCAGCCTGAGGCACTTTGCTCCTGATAGAGATGTGGTGAAAAAGCCATTTTTTCCCTTCCTACTGATACAGCAAAATTTCTGTACTGCTCTAGGTACAGCTGTAGGTTGGTTTGGGACACTCAGTGTCCCAAACAAAAACCTGTCCCAAACCTGGCAAGTTTGGCAGCATAGAAGGGGCCCTGGGACGGGGGGCTGGCGGCAGCGTGGGCGCGAGGCGGTTTATTTGTCTGCGGGCGGGCGGGCAGGGTTTGTGCGCCGCGGTCCCTGCGCACAGCGCGGAGCTGCCTGAGCTACCGGCAGGAGCTGCAGCGAGTGCCGCCGGGCAGGGCACCAGCACCGGCGCTGCCGAGGAGCTCCATCCACTCTTGGCGGCCTTGTAGGCTGTGCTCGAGGACAAAACAGCCAGCAAGTACCTTAAGGTGCTTAGGTTGAGTCTGAAAGAAACGAAGCTGATTCAACCCAAGTGCTGTGGAAATGAGTGAAAAGTCTCGGCTGATCAAAGTCTGGCAGCAGGTCTTCAAGGAAACAATTTTTTCATTAGCGTGGAATCCATAACTTATTTCCTGCAGGGATTAAAATTCACTGTCAGTGTTTTAAAGTACTCAAGTCACTTAAAAGTGGTGGGAAAAGAAGCAATTACTTCACTTGCTGAAAAAAAAAAAAAAAAAGACTATCCATTGAAATGTTTTTGTCTGCCTGTTTGGGCAGTGAATAGTGAGGGTGCCCTGACGTTTTGCAGGAAGGCGTGTGCATTTCTGTGTCAACACGGGAGGGCAGTGCACGCTCCCCCCAACGCGCACCCGCGCATCTCGGCTGCTGAGGAGGAGATTCGTGTTGGTGCAGAACCTGCGAGAAAGGAGCCATGCCCCGTCTCTAGCAGAGCGTCGCCGACACCGGAGCTGGTGAGGACAGGAGGAGGAGGGGGTCTCACGTCCCTTGCAGCAGTGACATGTGTGAATGTGAAGGGCACGAGCGAGAGGAAGACTTTCCACCGCACCGTGCTCACCTTCAGGTTGGGCAGAGCAGGTCCCTGCAGGTCCCCCTCGTGAGGCTTTACCCGATCCCATGTCAAGTCTCCCAGGTTTCCTGGGGAGGTTGTTTCCCATCCAGCCCAACGCTGCCGACAGCTCAGCCCGTGCCGGTGCCAAGGGAAGACCGGATTGCTGTGTGGTCCGTGATGGGATGCAGACGGCCCCTCCCGCTGGTGCCGCAGCAGGACGTGTAATACCCTAAAACCTCTTAGTGTGCTAAGCCCTGGGATCCCTAAGTGCTGAGGAAGCAGAGGAGAAAATCAGAAATAGCAGCTTAACAAACAGTCGGTGCCAGCGCGGGGGTCTCTGCTGCGAGACACCCTCAGCCGCTCCTTGCTGCGAGGACTCCCGCTCCCCTGTGCAGAGGAGCCTGGCTGGGGAGAGCTCTCCTGCGAGCCCCACAGAAGTCAGCCCAGACCCCCAAATCCCCGCAGCAAACCGCGCATTGTTTGGCAGACACGTACTCCCAAAATCTCTGGTTTCCCACCCAAACTGCCAGCGGCAGTGCCAGCGAGGTCTCAGCAGGCCCAGCTGCCGTTTGGGAGCGGCGATGGCGTGCTGCGTCTCTGCTGCTTTGCAAAGCGCTGTCATTTCGGATTTGCCCTGTGGGTAAGGGATTTCCCTCCACGGGCGCTAATCTGATTTACCTCCTTCCAGCTCCTAATTCCCCCCCAGATCTGTGGGCTCAGGTCAGCAGCAGACTGAGACAGTACCAGCACAGCAATTAGTCTGTCCACGCTTCTCTTTGCGATGGAAATAAAGTTAATTAGGAAAGGAAAAGGCAAGAAAGACCTTTCTGCGTGCCTGGCGCTGACTCAGAGCGGCTGGAAGGGCGCAGGGCTCGAGTAAGAAGCCTGGGAAGGGGCAGCCACCCCCTGCCTGGGGGGCTGCCCCAGCTCTGCCCCAGCGCCACGGCACAGCAGCCGTTTCGCCCACCCCTGGACGGGCGTTATGCACGAGGGCTGTGCCCCCAGCGCGCCGGGGGGCTGCAGCGAGGATGCGGGAGCAGAGGAGATGCCCCCGGGAGCCCGGCGGGTAGGTGGGATGCGCTTCCAGGGGCGATGGAGGAGAACCGAGAAAGCCTTGACCCCGTAGCGGGACAAACCTGCCGCCGGTGAGAGCCCGCCAGGCTCGCTTGGATGGCTGCAGACTTCCGTAAGTGCCTGAGCCGTAGGGTGTAGAGGTAGAAGAGGGTGACACGGCTCCCTGCAGCAAGGTGGTGGCCGCTGCTCTGCCGGGCTTTGCCATGGAGCTCAGCCCCGAGTGGCGGCGCCGGGGCCGTCCCAGTGCTTACTGGGCTCTTGCTGGAGCCTTCAAAGCCTGTGCTCTGCAGCCCCAGGGATGCCCCGGTATTCACTCGCCGATGGATTTCATCCCGCTGTTGCCAGACTTGCCCCATGCTTCACCCTCAATACTGCCCCTCCGGTCCTTGACATCTGTACCTGTTAACACGGGCAACAGCTTTGTTCCCTCTTTAAATAATAACAATAACAATAATAATCCCTGATTTTTATGCAGTATTTTAATCAGCACTGCTGTACAAAGGAGGACAAGATTATTACACTTACAATGTCAGTGACAGTGTATTGCTTGGTCCTGTTTAATATTTCCTTACGAAGGCGGCACTTCTAGTGCCCTCTGTAATACGGCCTTGAGTAGCTGTTTGCAACAGCAGAGCAGGCTCAGGTTATTAATACAGATTGCTGCGGTAATGCGGTTTTCCCTGCCCATCCCCACGATCCTGCTCTCAGAGCAAGCCGCTCCGTATTATCTGTGCTGAAAATGGACATGAGAAGAGTTCCTTTCATCTCCCTGGCGCCTATAATAGGGTATTAAGCAATGTTTTCAGTGCTACTGAATTTTGACCAAGGTTTCCTGGGTCTCAAAGGAGAAGAAATGTCTTTCAGTCATTCGGATGAGAGCCAAGCCGCCCCGACAGCGGTGAGGTGGAGGTGTGAAGGGATGCCTTTGTTGTGCTGGCAGGAGCACGGACTGGAGCGAACCGGGACCCTCTGGGCTGCCCAGGCAGGGGGGGAGCAGCCGCTCGGGGGGGACGCACCGAGAGCAGGCTTTAGGCTGCTGCTGGGCTCTGTGCCTGTGTTTGAGAGGTTTTGATCCGAAGAGCACAAAACTCAAGGTGCGTTCGCGAGGATGTTTTCTTGAGCGATTCTGAGTCCTTGTAGGCTCTGTAAGCTAATTTGCCCAGGTAAAATAGTCTGCGTTTCATTTTTGTAAATGCTTAATGCGTGTGAAGTAGCACAGATGGAATCAACACGGGAGTAAAAAGCATCTTCACAGACAGCTAAGATCAAATGAAGAGAAAATCTGCATGCGAATTAATTTAGCAAGTGTCAGCGGACAATGCAGGCACTTACACATCAGCGGCGGCGAAAGGGCATCCACGTGAGCTGCATAGATCAGCCGGTCTGATTTACTTTGGGCAAAGGCGGCTTCTGCAGATGTTTAGGGCTGATGTGCCCGATTCCTCCTCGAGCGTCCGTGGAGCTGGTCCTAACCCTTCAAATGAACCACAAACAAGTCCTTTTGAAAATCCTCATCTTTGTGTTTCAGGATGCTGTGATCGGGTTAATACTATACACAGGACAGGGAGGGCACAAAGAAATACTCCCGGGAGAGCTGAGAGGATCTGGCAAATTCTAATGAATTTGCAGTAATTTTGCAGTTGTAAACTGCTAAAACATTGAGTATTGAGAAGAGTTAGCTAAAATAAGGCTGTCTTAAGTCATTGGATGATCCGTTCATTAACGTGACATGCCAGGGAAATGAAGTAATCATTTTGCTAGACAAATAAATACAAGCAGGTGCCTAAAGGCATCTACCTGGGAGGGGGGGTTAGGTAGGTGCCACCGACGGGTGGGACAAGGGCTGTGCAAGGCCACGGTCCGGGTGCCAGGTGTAGCCCCAACCTTTCAGCCGACGCAGCTTCCTCACTGCTAATGGCGCCGGCACTGCCAGCAGCCTGACAATAGCAGAATAAAAGCTATCTTTTAGGGAAATATAGAGGAAAAGTGTCCCTCTTGGGGCATTTCTTCCCACAGTGGGGGGGCACAGCACAGAGAAGAGCCCCCACACCCGCTGGGATCCACGTGGCACCTACGGGAGCTAACATAAAGGATGGAAAACGCACCACAACTCCTTTTCTTCCCCCCTTCTTTTCCAGTTGCAGCCATGCCAGCAACCAACCAGGGCTGGCCCGAGGCCTTCGGGTTCAAGATAAGCGGGACCGGTCCGT